GTCGAATCGCCGAGGCGACAAAAATTATTTTCACCTCGGTATATCTGCGCATATACGGACCATGAATATTTAATTATTATTGCAGCGCATTAAGAAGATACGCATACATGTTACAAATGCGGCAGAGTACTCGCAATAATTTTAATTATCAATTCGCATAATTATTAAACGTAAATAAAATGCAAAGTGATATGAATTATAAAAGTTTGCTCATGAGTGTCGCCTACATGAAAGTCTGAGGGCCGTTTAGAAACGCACAAAATCGTCTTTTTTTCCAATTCGTTTCTAATACGAAAGCAAAGGCACGAGACATGATATGAAGAGCACTTAGCATCAGAGCTCGACAGAAGCTGTTGGATTAGGATACTGCTGGAGAAGGTTTGTTGCTTGCACGAGTGTCGCCTCGTCTGCCGCTCGAGCGTGTTTGAACATATTTGTTTGGTACTCGAGAAGACGGGACCTACTCACGTTATTGGCTCGAAACTTTTCACTACCAGACGACGAGTATCTCCCGTCATTTCTGCCGCACCTGTCTCCTTCTGATCCCTGCGTATCTTCAACGGCATTCTGTTTCGAGGTCGGCTAAGGCTGCTACAATCGACACATCGTGACGCCCGCATCGCGGTTCCCGCCGTCTTTCGCCATCGACATTAAACAGGAATTATTACGAGTATTCGCTCGGACGAACGTGGACGGTCGTGAAGTGACAGGCGTAAACCGAGTTTGAAACCATCGATCGATGTTTGCTAACTACTCGTGTTTACCTATGTCTCGTTGTGATCGATGGATACGTCGATAAAAAAATTTCTTCGTACGATTTCTACATTTTTTTCTTCCAACTTTGTCAACTTCATGTACTAATCTTTGTCTAATCTTTGAGAACTCCAGATATTCCTATTAAATTTCATATTTGATGTCATACTAAATTTAAAATAAATAATCGATCAATTTACTTTGGAATAACCCAAAGTAACCCAAAAAACAAATAAAAGATGTTACACAGACTCAGATAATCGGTCATATTATTTGATTGTAAAGGTGTCGAGTGAATGTCACGCATGAGATTACATAATGTTATCTATCAATGACAAGTACAAAGCGATCGCCTCCGTTTAGTGCCACTACAATGTAGACCAGACGTCGCAGCACGATTCAAGCGTAAAGAAGCGTCTTCGTTTACTTTTTTAATGGCGGATGGCTAGATTGTACTACGGGCGGGAAATCCACGTCTAGCCATCAGCATTATCCACATATCACACACGCCGGCCGGCTCCTACATTATCATCCCGTGTGTACACGCACGTCCACACACTGTACACACACGAAGAGCAACGGAAGATGACGATGACGACAACGATGGCGACAACGACGGCGACGACGAAGAGCACAGCTAACAGGGCAAACACAAAGCCAGTTACTCGCTCAAATATTTGTCCCTGGCCAGATCCCGGTGTTATCTTGAACACGCACTGGCTGGCTCCTACGACGACGTAGGAAGCGGGGCGGAGAATGCGCGATAGAGAAAGAAAGAGGGATGCACACAGACTGCAGGTTGATTCACCTTGGCTAAGCGAGCAGATCCTGTTAATGAAAGACTCTCTTTCACGCCTGAGCACCGAGCGGAGACAATAAAGATACCTCGTTGGTCCTACGTCCTTTTCCCGTTCGTGTCGCTGCTTCCTCTTTCCCATTCCGAGAGGCAGAAGGAGAAAGGAGGACAGAGGGAGACGTAGGCGCAACAGTTTCCTGTTCTCGTGCGACCGCGAGAATGCCATAATCTAATCTACGTTTATACCAAGAATAAACGTCGAAAAAAAAGAAGACGTCGTTGTTTTCGAGGAGTCGAGCGGCCGCTATCGATATACCGTGAGAGTTTCCGTGAGAATGACATCGTCGTAGTGAATGGGTTCGAGATAGTATCGCTTATTGCGATACACTATGCTCAAGAAAACACGCTCGTGTATTTTAATTTCGACGCGCCAGCCTTCATTTTCAATTTATCGCGCAAAATTGCTCTCGGAGAAAGGCAATTTTCGCGAATCGACGTCACGAGTAATATCATTTGTCTTTCCCGACGCGCTTCTCCGCTCGCTCCGAGAGACGGAGCGGGCGAATTCTCTAATCGGCGCCTCGATCACTCGGATTCGGAGGGAAGTCATGGACGGCGGGGAAGAATAAATCGCGGTTATTAGCGCAAGATTACGTGGGCTTGCGCTCAGATTGCCTCGCGGTACGGGGGCCCAAATCCAAAATCTATATACCGACGATTCACCAGCGACATCAGTGTCCGTGAGCCGGCCACGATAGTGGTCGAAATAGCCGTGAAAGAACGACGAGAACGAGAAAGAGAAGGAAAGAAAGATCGGAATAGCAGGAGACGCGAGAAGGATGTAAGAAGATTCCGACGCGTGCACATTGTTAGGGGAATCAGATTAGCCGGCAAGCCTGATGTATGTGCACCGCCAGTAACGTATCGCGTACCGTGCTCAGTACTCCGCTTTTTCTCTCTCTTTATTTGCCACGGTCTATCCAGCGAGTGATGGAAGCTAATATTACGATATCGGATCACTGTTTCTGGATTAGGATCGATTCTACGTTAAATAATTTTTTAGTACCATCGACATAATACTTTAATTTTTTACAATGTCCAAAAGTATACAATATGATTTAATATATATGGTAGGACTTCATTACCGCATTTAAAAATTATCACAATCGTGAGAAGTAAAAATTTAATATGACGTGAAGTAAATATAAAAATTGATTATAGCGTTAGATACACAATAACAATTGTATGTTATATATCTAGTGCACAATTATTTAATTATATATCAGTGTATAATTATTATTAAAGTTATAATAATTGTTAATTTATTATAGTACTGAATTAATGTATCGAGATTAATTTCTCTAAAATCATTGGAAGTTGATCTAGATCAGTGTAGATGACAAAGTATCTGTCTTCGGCTATTAGGAAGAACTATAAATCGACAACTAATTACATTGGACGTGCGTCCAATTAAATTAACATGAACGGTCCGCTTCTCGAGATCAGCATTAGTCCGTTGCGAGAGGAAACTCAAGATATATATATATATATATATATATATATATATATATATCTAGTTTGATTCTCTCCGCCCAGGCGCATAAACTCACGATGATTTATCGTCCTGGTATTCAGCGTTCAAAGAAAGAGAAAGGCATCGGCACTTCACATATCGCGAGCGCTATGCAACAAAGTTCTGCCTCCGGATGCGTGCATGATCGGTCTAATTAGACTCCGTGAAACCGAGTAAGACATCAACATGTCAATTCCCGAAGACTCGCCATACCAGCCTTATTCCCTCGTAACGAGATAAGAGCAGTGTACTTTACTTAGTTAACTAAACTCTCTGTTTCTTCAATCCTCGATAAACCATCCAATGGAATTAACAGAACTGCCAAAGTATTGATCGCATCGATGTACGCGGTGTTATGCAAACCAATTACCATAATAAACTTCGAATCTCGAATTATTCAATCGATAAAAATTTCTTGATATTATGCTTCACGGGAAATCAATAGTCAATCAAACGACTACCAATTGCGTCATAAATATTTCATCACATTAAGTTACTGATTAATGTAGGCAAGTTGATTAGCCTTTTAACCAAATTATCGATTTTTGATCAATTTATTGAATTAAAAAATAATAGTAATAAAAAAATAAATAAAATGGTCGAGAATGGAACATTTAGAACACATTATTATTTTATAGAAATTATCGATACGAGAAAAAATGCGAGGGTAATCCTAGAACAAGAAGGGTCTGCACGTGTTGCATCGGCGTCGCGTGAGCGTCCTACACGCTTCAGGAAGCTCACAGAGATCTGTTCGGACGGAGGCAGAGAAAACGTGGGAACAGATGGACGATTTGCTCGCTAGTAACGAACACGCGGGCTGCCGGATTCGCGTAAGTCGCTGCTTCTTCTTGTTTCTCCCTCGGTCGCGGAGTATCTCGTGTGGGTAGAATCAATTACGCGGTGAAACGCACCTTGACAGAGACACCTGGCCAACTCCGACGTTGGTAATATTTAAATACGCACACCCACCGCTCGTGCCGGATGATGCTCGATAAATCTCCGAGGGATTGTCACGGGATAATAGCGACAAAGGCGTTGACGTTGTCAGAGGATTGAATGACCTCGTGAGACGTGCATCTGATTTGACTAACAAAAAACTAATGCATGCGATGTACGGACGATGTGACATAAATTGATCGATGTAGATTTTTGACCTTGCAATTATGTCGCTTTAATTTGCACTTTAATACGTCTGATGTCGGAACGTCTCGCGTCAATCTGTTTTTTCTTCTTTTTTTTTACAGATATTATCTAAGAATATATAGTAATTTCTGTTAATCGAGGCACTCGACAACCGCGCACGCGTTCTTCGCGCGAACAGTAAGTGAGTTGTCCAATTATTTCCAAGCAACGGTATAATTATCGAACTGGCGGAGACGGTCGCGGAGCAGGCGCAATGTAATTACAACGACACCGAGTGACTAATGTTCTTTTTATCTGGATAGCAGCCTTACCGCCCTCGGAATCGCGACCGACCGAAGTCATTACGCGTCGTTAATGTATCGCCTCTTGTATTCGGCAGCACCCTCACAAATCCATCCCCCTCGATAGCGCGCCGTGATTTCGTATGCATCCAAGTCGCGCGCTAGTTATCGGTTAATGAAATCGATGGATACGCGGAGAAGTTAAACACCACGAATCCCTTAAAAGAGAAGGGTGTTGCCGCCGCCGAGAAATTTCGAAGGGAAACGCCACAGCCCACCTCCATCCTCCCTTCCGACTTTCTTTTCATTTCCGACATTCATTAGAACGCGCGGAGAGAAAACGAGCGTGCTTTAATGCACGAGGCAACGAATACCCCGAACAGTGTTTATATTTCTTTACTTTTCTTCGTCCGCTATATAGATTACAGACGAAAGTCAAACAGTTACTCACTGGTATTAGAAGCCATGATGCTCATCAGGTCGTTGAGAAGCTCGTACTTACCTGAAACAAAGAAAAAGCGAAATTATAAATTACACGCTCGTTAACCTTCGTTTTTTTTACGTTCGAGTGCAAGCATGCAACGACCTATCAACGGGGAACGCAATAGCGTGCGTAAAAGCTCGGCTAATAAAGGGCTCCGCTATAAAATTCAATCCACGAACTAGCGAGGGGAAAGAACCAAGTTGGTATCGCGTTATACGCCTTCTCGAGTTTGACGCTTCGGATAGAGAGTGCTAGATCGGAGACGCGAGAAACGCCCCGTCGGAGGGACGATTCCGTGGAAACGGAAGAGTCGACGAGGAGGAGATGTCCCATAGACGCGCGCCCACAGTCGAACGTCGCGTGTACACCTACAGCAGCCGTGATACGCCGCCGGTGATGGTACTTGGTGGCAAGACTTTTGTGGTGTGAGAACGGTATTGTCTTTTTACGGCCTCCGCAGGCGCCCGCCGATGTTTCTCCGACGCCCGAGGGAGCGGGCTCTCCTCCTCGCCTTCGGTCCCGGGCTCCTTCGGCATTATCCAAGAGAGATCACCTTTTTACCGGTCGTTGCGACCTCGTCATTCCGCCCTTATCTCGAGACCTTCTCCCCGTCTCCTGTTCAACGGCGAGAGAGAACGGCAAGAAGGTGAATGAAGAAGGTAGCAGCCCTCTCGCCGAAAGTGTCCGCGAACGGGGAGAGAGAGAGAGAGAGAGAGAGAGAGAGAGAGGACGACGACGCCGCGACGACGACGACGACGGACGGAGGAGAGAGAGAGAGAGAGAGAGAGAGAGAGAGAAGGCATACGAAACGGCAACAGAGACGGTGACGAGGTCGTCAAATCCGTAGGGCGATTGAAAATTATACAGGGATCGGCTTTACGAGCGGACGCTTTAGCCGCGTTGACGTGCCTGCACTTATCCGCGTACTATGTCCCTGTAACGCCGCGATATCTCGTCGACCCCGAGGAGTGTGGCAGTGCGGAAGATTCGAGCCAAGGTTTATGGAATCGCCTATCCTCTCGGCACATTCCGCAAAAGTTACGGCACGGTCAAAACGGGACACATCGTGCGTCAAACAGCTACACACTGCCGACGTATCTTTTCACGCAACTACTACTTAATGCGCGAGACTTTACGATAAAATAAGACCTTTCCTACACGACACGATGACACCTTCAACAGTTTTTTGCGTTCGTCGCGTATAACGGTCGATCTTTTCGTCTTTTGTAAGTACACTTCCGCCTTAGCGGTCGACTGGATTTTTATTTCAAGAGAATACGTAGACTATCATTGGCGCCGTTCGCGCGCTCGCAACGCAATTACGATTCAACAGCGCGACGTGAATACGCATAGAACTCGCGCATTTAAATATTCACCGTGACAAAATGACGGAATTATCTATCGTGCTGCGCTAATAAAAGTGCCATGCATTAAGTGCGATTATGCATTCCGAACGAATTGGAATTCATAATTCGCCAGTTCGAATGTAAATACGGGAATATTTAATTGGCGCGATAGAACGACCGATAGTCAACGAAGAACGCATTATTCGATTATCTGCTTAACCTCGTAATTGGCCTTTCTGCGCGCACCGCGGCGCGGATTATAAATTACAAATTATACACTGACCTCGAACGTCGTAAATGTCGTATTCCTTTACCTTGTAATATGCATAAGCCTGACAAGACCTTATAATAAAATGCAATGACAACGATGCGTCCGGCGTGTCTCGTTAGACGCACATTTCGTCCGCGCCGATGATTCACTCGTACGTTGTCACGTCGATAACCACTCCATTTAGCCGAGACTGTATACAAATAAGCGATACCCCGCCCGCACGCAACGTTAATCTCGCATTAATGGCTCGTTCTATAAATTGCATCGGACTTACATGCCTCATTGAATAGCAATCCAATCGCACCTTGTTGATTCATATCGGGCACTGTTTCGTTATGTTGATAAGAAATACATGCAACGTATGATTCCAAAAATTTAATAATAGTCATTCAATATTAAACGGATTAATGTAACTCTCAATGCCGAAATTTACAAACATGTCGCGATAAAAAATTTCATGAATTAATTTTACGCATTAATTCCACGAACAAAAAGTGTGACGAAAGAAGTTAAACGGTACCGAAGACGGAATACATCTCGGAATTACAAGACAAATGTTGCGACTCCTACGTATTTCTTGAAAGCCTAGTTAAATATAACGGTAACCCGCCTCTCCGTTCACATCAAATTCATGCGCGACAAGAGTGAGCTCATTATCATTTTCATCGTCGCGATTCTTATCGAACTTAACTCCGTCTGATAATCGAATGGAAACACTTTTCTATCGAGCGACTATCGTGCTGTTTTATTGAATTAATCATGTAAATCGGATCGTGATTGTATCCACACGAACGAGCCCGATTGAAAAGTTATTACGACATTTACGAGATCTGTGTACACAGTATTCTATTTAGTTTGAATTTTAACGTTCATCTATCAAGCTTATCCTGATTTTTTTTAATGGCTTTGCATTTGAAATGCAACTGAGCAGCTGAGAAAACTCAAGCGCGACTTTTTCCAGCGATAGAGATCAGGTGACTGCGAATGGACTTCAGATTTCCTCCACGGCCGAGGAAATACGGCACAACGGAAAAGTTAATGCTACGCGCGGTAATGGGGTACCTCTGTAAGTAAGCTCCCTCCCTCCGCTTCCCCCTGCCACGCTCGTCGCCTCGAGCATCACGCTTTCTCTCTTTATCCCTCTCCCTCTCGTTCACCGTGCCTCTTCTCCATTACATCGGAGCAACCTGCAGACTCCATACGTTACCACCGTAGACAGCCTCAAATTGCTTCATTAGCCGCGAGATATTTTATATAAATTGGGGACTAAATTACCTGCGGCCGCGCGCCCGACATCGGCGAAAAATTTTGTAATTAGAGCAGGTAAAACTCGTCGCCGTCGCGCGGTTGGACGGCGAAGGGAAAAGTGAGGTAGAGAGGGAGAAACGAGAATAGAGGCGAGATAGAATAGAGAGAGAGAAAGAGAGAGAGAGAGAGAGAGAGAGAGAGAGAGAAGAGAGAGAGAGAGAGGA